GAATTATAATTAACATAAATTATTAACATCTACATCATCATAAAGTCAGCACAAACACTTTGGATCAATGCAAACTGAATTACTTAAATATTCAAATGCTGCAGCCCTACTTGTCTGTCTCTTTGTGTTAGCCCTGCGACAGACTGGCGACCTGTCCAGGGTGTACCCAACCTCTCACCCTGCTATGACCCTGAGTTCGGGAACTTTGGAGGAAAGTCTGGTTTGGCTGTTGGCTCCTGACGTCAGCCTGTTTGACTTTGATCTATGTTTGTGTTTTTTCTAGATCGACGTGTACCTCGCCAAAAGCCTCGCAGATAAGCTGTATCTTTTCCAGGTGAGCTTTTCCCTTTGTAGTACCCGTGCACTGATGAGCACGACCTCACGAGCCCACATGTGAGCAGTTTCTCTAACTTATCTGGACCGTCTGGGGTGTGATTGATGTTTAATGTTCTAAGAGTCACTAATTGAGTTCACCGCTTTCCCCTGATGCAGTACCCTGTGCGACCAGCCACCATGACCTATGATGATGTCACCCACTTGGCGGCTAAGATCAAACCCAAGCAGCAAAGGGTAACCAGAAACCTGATGTTGATGTATTTTGTTGAAAATGTGTTTCAGTTTCAGGGGAGATGTGTGAATTGGAGAAAATGTTAAAGTATTGGATATCACCAATTTCTCAAGTTAATTGGTTACATCAGGTTAAATTATAAGATAAGATTTTTTGTATTACAAGTTTTCAGAAATGTTGAAAGTCATTAAATCGGGTGTTTGTATCATTTATGTACGGCTCCTTATACAGGTGGAGCTGGAAATATCCATGGACACAGTGAGTCCAAACTACTGTCGCAGTAAAGGAGAGCAAATTGCCCTAAATGTGGACGGCACGGGTTATGACGAAACCAACACCTACTCTGCGTATGTTCTTTTATTTATACATTCTTCTTTGATTCAGGTCCTGCTTCTGGTCTGACTGTTCAGTTTTTTCCCCCTTTCTAGTAAAATGATGGACAAGCAGACCTTCTCCTCCATCCAGGCCACCACCAACACCTCCAGATACGCAGCTGCTGTGTTTCGCAAAGGTCTGACCTGATTAACAGGTTCAGCAGCCCGTGTAATACATTGTGGCACCATGTTTGTGTTTTGGCTTTGTGACCTCGCACCAAAAGATAAAAACAATCAGCCATTGAACCACACATATTATGATGAGTCCACTCCAATCAGAGTAGGATTTATGATCTGGTTGTTTTATTGATGGCGTTAACAGGTGAGCTTCACGTCACACCTCTGACTGGAATTCTTCAGATGAGGCCCAGCTTCTCTTACCTGGACAAGGCCGACAACAAAACCAGAGAGAGGGAGGCGGCCAATGAAGGTGTGCCTGCTTTTCCTGTTTTCCAGATTAAATTCTGAGAAGGATTATTTAGTATACACAGTTTATCTTTTGTTTGAAAACCTTAATTGTTTACTCCTAGAAAACCTTGATCTTTCCTGAACTGAGTGGTTTTTGTCGTATTCCATGCCTGCTTACAGAACAAAATGACTGTGTGTGTGCATCAGATGTTAGTGAGGATAGTTTCTGCCTATGCAGCTAGCCTTGGGGAAAACCCCAGAAACTCTTCACTGAGGTTTTAAACTTTTCTATTAGGGTACAAGGGAGGCTGCCAAATGTCATCCTTACTGAAGTTAAGATGTTCTAAAATGAGTTTGTAGCTCTTCTTTACATTTTTCAAAGGGGCAGTTATAAGAAACTGGGACTGTTGTGGAGGGTTTATTGGTGTGGACCTCCACAACAGTCCCAGTTTTTTAATATTTGCCCCTTGGAGAAATTCATTCCTCATCCCTGCTTTAAAGTATGTTATATGTTTATTTTTAGATGTTTCTTCAAACATCATGGTAGGAGCAGGTATGATTACAGTTATTTGACCAGAGTCTTGTGTGTACAGGTGGAGACTCCTCCCAGGATGAAGCTGAGGAGGAAGCCAAGGCTATTACGGTAAATGCTTAGACACAAACACTTATGATCAAGCTCAGGCGACCGTGGCTCAGGGGGTTGGGAAGCGTATCTGTAACTGGAAGGTTGCCAGTTCAATCCCTGTCCTGGTCGTTGTGTCCTTGGGCAAGACACTTTACCCTACCGCCTACTGGTGTTGGTCAGAGGGGCGCAATATGGCAGCCTCGCTTCTGTCAGTCTGCCCCAGGGCAGCTGTGGCTACAACTGTAACTTGCCTCCACCAGTGTGTGAATGTGAGAGTGAATGAATTATCATAATTACACTGATTTAAGTTCTCCTGCTCGTGCTCCAGGTGAGGTTTGCTCGTCCCGAGTCGGAGCAGGCCCGACAGAGGAGGATCCAGTCATACGAGTTCCTTCAGAAGAAGCAGGCGGAGGAGCCCTGGGTTCACCTGACCTATCACGGAGTCAAGGTAGAGGGAGTACTCACCATTAAGGATGAATTTGTCTCCTTTCATGAGCGCTGACGTTATGAGATTTGTGCTGGTTATGCATCATCATGAAGCAGTTTGTGTTTGCAACATCGAATTCAGGACGGGCGTTCGGAGCATGAAAGGCAGTACCTGTTCTGTCAGTCAGGGGATGCCTCGGAGAACTCTGAACTGGTCAAAACTCCAAAGTGAGTACAAATAAATAACTTCTTGATACTTGTGCTTTTTTATTATCTGAATTAAATTGGATGTGTAGCTTATTTCTTAGGCACTGATGAGCTGTATGTTGACGCAGTTTTAGTTCTGCTGCTGTTCTGTTCTCCTCTCTCACTCCTCTCTCATTTTCTCAGGGAGTATCTGGCGATGCTGATGCCGCCTCTTGCAGAGGAGAAAGTGTAAGTGTGCCCCTCTCTTCTGGCACGTACATCTGCATGTCAACTCAGTGACAGTCTGTGAATCGTATCATTTACTTGCTTTCCTCTCTGTGTGTCAGGGTGAAGCCTGTGGGTCCCAGTAATGTGCTCTCTATGGCCCAGCTCCGCACTCTGCCACTCGGAGAGCAAGTCAAGACTCTGATGAAGAATGGTAGGATAACATGATAAAGAACAGCTTTTTATTTTTTTTATTTATTTATTTTACAATGTATTGTTATTATTATTTTTTAACACACATGCAAACATCCATGGCAGTCAACATTTCCTGTGCTGTTTTTCTTTGTACCACGTGGGGGCACTAAAGCATAAACAGCAACATTATCATCATACCATTCATTTCACTCTCTCCCCTCTCCAGTGAAGGTAATGCCATTTGCTAATTTGATGGGCCTGCTCGCGTCTGGCACAGACTCGACCTCAGTGCTGCGCTGCATCCAACAGGTGGCGCTGCTGGTTCAGGGGAACTGGGTTGTCAAGAGGTAAGACCAGGAATCTTTTATCTAACTGAAACGTTAAAATGAACCACAGGTCAAGCAGGTCTTGTCTAATTCCATGTTTTTATATTGAGTGGGAAATGACTGATGTGGGTTTTAATTTTTCCTCCACAGTGATGTTCTGTATCCCAAAAACACCTTCAGTGCTCACAGTGGTGTTCCTGCTGAGGTGCTCTGTCGTGGCAGAGACTTTGTGGTGAGCTTCTCTCAGTTGTTCCTCCTTTAATGAAGCTACAGCATAATGCTTGACAGGCACAGTTTAAGTCATCTTTTCATTTCGTAGATGTGGAGGTTCACTCTGGAGCGCTCTGTGATGAGAAAGGAGATTGCATCAATCATCAAAGTAAGGACGAGACCAAAATGAGATGCTTGATTGAATGTTTCTGTTTGTTAGTAACCGATATGGCTCAGGAGAAGTAGCTGTGCAAAGTTAATTGCTTAGGGTGCGTTTTTTATTTATTTATTCATTTATTTTTAATTAGACGTTCATTGCACTTTGAATTAGTCCTTTAAGTTGTGTTGCATCCTCGACAATCAAGATGTGGAAGGATGCTGTTGTTGGGTCTTTAATGTCCCCCAGTGTATTGCTCTCTTTTGCATTTGTGACCTGGAAGCTGAAGTTGTTCGGTACATTCAGGTAAAGAGAGCTAACACCTTCCCTCTTCTTCCTTCAGCTTCCCCCAGAAGACGTGAAAGAGTTCCTGGAACATGTGGCGGCTCCTCGGGCAAACCGGGGCTGGGAGTTCCTGTTGCCTACTGATGTAGACTTTATTAAGAAACACCCAGATGTTGCCCACAGGCAGAACATGCTGTGGCTTGGCATCCAGAGCAAGTAAGCAACACGTTGAAAGGGCAGCACATCAGCAGTTTAGCACTATTAAATGTTTTTGCTGCAGTGGAATAATCTGGCTTGTTTATTTTCCTGAAGGCTGGAAAAGGTGTTTAATTTCTCTAAAGAAGACTTTGTGCCAAAGAAGTC